GATTCATCTAGGCTGTCTCCGGCCTCAGCAGCTTCCTTCCTGGCAAGGAGTGGGGGCAGGGACCTGTGAGGCTGAGGCCTGGGCAGTGGAGGGCCACCTTCCTCTTGCCCACACACTACTTGTGGGGTCTCCCAGCACATGGCCCCCGGCTCCAGATAACCCTCCTCACACTGGACCCAAGGCCAGAATCTGTAGCGCAGCCTCACCCAGGAATAAAAATAGCCCTTGAGGCAAGTGTGAGTGGGGTGGGGACCACACCTAAGGGGGGCGGACCCAGGCATGGCTGGGCACAGGGAGAGGGAATGGCTTCCCCAGAAGCCCCAAGCAGCGAGGAGGGAGAAAGCGGCAGGAACGCACAAAGAAGGACGAACAAAGGGGGTAGTGGAGAGAAAGGAGGCAGGAAAGTGAAGGGTGGGGAGAATGTGCAAACAAGGAGGCACAGACGGAGAGGGAGGTGCAGAGATGAGGTCCAGGATTGGGTAAGAATGCCCCTGAAGTGGGGAGGGGAGCAGAGCAGAAAGAGTGAAGTCCGCTAGTCCGCTGTCGCGCTTTCATCTCCAAAGGCCAAAGGACCACCGCTCCTCATCCACACCCACAGAGAGAGGACTGAGTTGGGGGACTCTCTTTTTCCTGTTTCTAAAACCCCCAAACCCTAAACACCCTAACCCAGGTCTCTTCCTCCTTCTGATCCCTCTCCCCACCTATCCTCCCGGTAGCCCCAGCTAAACTCCCATCTGGTCACCTTCTTTTCTCTCGCTTCTCCAAGTCCCGGGGAGCCTTCCGGGCCCACCCCCTCTCCGGCCGGGCTGCTAGAACTCCACTCCCACTCTCCCATCTCCTTCCACCCCACCAGTCCTTCCCCGTGGATCTCCCCGCAGCCTCCCTCACCACACCCTCTTCCTTGAAACCTGCCGTGCCACACACGCGCCCGCACTTCTCCAAGTCTCCCCCAAGACACCCTTCACTTTGGTCTTCTCGTAGGACCACCTGTCCTGATGTTTCCCTCTGACCCTCCCAAACCCTGTTGGGTCCCACTGCCCCCTTCTCTCCCAGTCTTTCCATCAGCTTGTCCCTCCCACCCCCACCCTCGTCAATATTCTCAACTCCTGGGAGGACCTTCTCTCTACCTTCCGGCCCTTTAGGGGGCTGAAAACTTGCACTTCTACGAACTTTTCAGGGTCGAGCACAGAATTCTCATTACCCGCACCCACAACAATCGTCTTCCCCTCCCGAGGCCACCCCCCACAACAGCGCGCACACTGCAGACTGCACGTGGGGTTGGGTGGGGGTCAAGGAGGGAAGGGATTGGGGAGTTAAGGCTGGAGCTGGGTAAAGGTGAGAGTTGCCTTCCAGGAATTGGGAGGCTGGCCTAGGAGCGAGAAGGTGTTCCTACCTTCACGAACAATTCAACCTGAGGTTGTTCTTCAGCCATGGTTGCGACGGGGACCAGGAAGCGGCCGGCGCTGGGGGAACTGGGAGGGGCCCGGGCCAGGGAAGGCGGGTCCCACAGGCAGGGATTCTCTCCCCCAGACCTAGGGCTGGCCCTTCAGCGCAACACAAACCCGATGAGACCCGCTCACACGAGACACGGCTTCCCCACTAGCCCAGCACACACACACACACACACACACACACTCAGGGAATCATTCTACAACCCCACACCCCGCCCCTCCAGCTCTATCCCCTCCCCGGCTAGATCAGGGAGCCGCTGACTCACCGACCGGCCCCGCCCTGAACCTGGGGAGGGGACAGGAGGGGGGCGGGACTCGACGATCTCGGGAGTGGGGCAGAGGGGAGAGCCTCAGGTCTCCTAGAGGAAAAGGGATGGGGGTGTTAGGGAGGGGGAATCCTGGGAACCTCCTTGTTTCTCCACCCGTCTCCTTGAACACAGGATTTTTTTTTCCTGCCTCAGTTTCCCTGCTGCATTAATCAGAGGACACTCCCCCTCCACCCTCACACAAGACACCAACAGCTTGATCAAGCCCATGAGGGCCCAGGGAGGGAATTTTAGAATGTGAAGGTGGTCCTTTATTCCTTTTCCCACGTTCCTTCCAGACTCCAGCAGGACAGGGACTTGGAAGTGGATGCTGAGGTTGGGGAAAGAGAGTGGTGAAAGATAGGGCAGGGGATGGGAGGGGAGACATCCAGGTCTCCTGCTAGGGAAACAAGAAGCTGAGCCAAAGGGTCTCCTCACTGGGGGAGGTCTGCTCCTCCTCAGCAGCGTAGTCAGCTTTAATGCTTCCACTTCTGCGCCCATACCAGGACCCTTCCTGTGCCCCTAGCCCTTTTCTCACTGATCGGTTGAAGATGAGAGAATGGTGGGGAAGGGTGGGGTTGTTGTGGCCCTAGAATAGAGCTGCACTGATTCTGGAGGGGATGGTAGCTAGTCCTGTCATGGAAGAAAAAAAAAGCAAAGATCAGATGGAATAATGTAAATGGAGTCCTTGGGGACACACATAAATAAGTAGGGAGGTAGAGGAAGAGTAGCTTGATTTTTGGTGGTTCTGTCAAACTCTTTATGATCTGCTGAAAAACGGCTTAATAGTATGTCCTCCAAACTGGACATATTCCAGCCTCCATGTCTTGAATCTCTCTCCTTCCCTACCATGCCTTCTCCTTCCTCATCACCTGCTGTCTAACAAGAGACCTACAGTTCCAGAAAAACACGGTGGAGTGCAAGGACATAGAGGAGCAAAACAGGCCTTGACACTTAAAGAAAGGGAGACTTTGGGGAGGACTGGGGTGGGGTGAGAGACGTGCTGCTGGAAACCAGCAGTTAGTGGTTTCCTCTCTCCTCTCCTGCTTCCTCTTCTGTGGGTTTTCTCCTCCCTGGGGGAAGGCCTATCTCTCTCCTCCCCAGTGAGGAGATATATTCAGTGTTTGTTCCTTTGAACTGTAAGATCCTGTAAGGTTGTAGAATGATTCCATGAGTGTGTGTGTGGGGGGGGGGTCTCCTCCATGGGTGACCCTCAGATTCTGCACACAGGGCATCTGAGGAAAGGAGGTCAAAACAGCCCTATTCTTAGGGTCCTCTTCTGTTCCAGCTGATCAATGTCCATCAGAGAATCCGCCACACAAAGATCTCCCTTCTGGGAGACGCCGCAGGCAAATGGGGCCAGCCCTGAGCTCAAACAGGTTTTGGCAGCTTCATTCCTGCCTTTTTCTCTCCTACAGCTTTATGGGTAAAGCTGGCTTGATCATCAATATTGACTTTGGCTGGCTGGCATGGCTACCCACAAGGTATTTCGCCTTAATTTCCCAGATGACAGGTAATGCTGCCCTCTCCTGGTACTATCCAGCAGTGCCCCCCGGGGCTGCACCCCCAAATCCTGCATCAGAGAAGTTTTCCTGCGGTCTCATCTCCTTACCCTTCTATCTCAGTATCTACCCTTTCCTTCAAAGGGTGGCTTCTTTTTCACTCCCTCCCCTTCCTTGGCTTGGTAAACCAGTCCCTAATCTGTTTTCACCCCAGATTGGAAGGTGTTTGCCTCCCTGACACGCCTTAGAGTTGTGACGGTCTCTTTCAGGTTTCCATAGCTCCATTGCTCAACAGTTTGCCAGGGGTAACCATTAACCTAATCCTTAACTCCCTCCCCTACCTTTCTTGCTAGAGGGGATTTTCCAATCGTTTAGCGGAGCCAGGTTAACCCACCATTTTCTCTAACCTCTTGGATGAGATCGCCCCATCTCAGGGTACCTTAGGACAAAGCTGGAGAGGAAGATGCATTTTAAGCGATCTGTTTTTTTATTTTTTATTTAATTTATTTTTTAAAAAAGATCTTATTTATTTATTTGTCGGGGGGGGGGCACAAGCAGGGAGAGTGGCAGGCTGAGGGAGAAGCAGGCTCCCCGCTGAGCAGGAAGCCCAATGTGGAACTCTGTCCCAGGACCCTGGGATCATGACCTGAGCTGAAGGCAGACGCTTAACTGACTGAGCCACCCAGGCGTCCCAAGGGATCTGTTTTTTTAAAGTATGTATTTATTTCTGTCCCCCTCACAATTTCCTTGCTTCTCTTCTCACACACACTAAAAAGTAAGCTTCATGAAGCCCATACTTAATTAATGTTCAGTACTTTGAGTCTTACCACCTGGCCCAGAGTAGGCACTAAATAGTTGCTGGGTGAATGAATGACACCCCTCTGTCTTTAGGGGTGTGGGTGTTTGTGCACCTGCAGAGGTGGATAGACATGTCTCAGCGGGGGTGTAGGGGTTATCAGGTCTACTTTTTTTTTTTTTTTAAGATTTTATTTATTTATTTGACAGAGAGAGAGGGAACACAAGCAGGGGCAGAGGGAGAGGGAGAAGCAGGCCTCCCACTGAACAGGGAGCCCAATGCGGAGCCCGATCCCAGGACCCTGGGATCATAACCCGAGCGGAAGGCAGATGCTTAACGACTGAGCCACCCAGGCACCCCTATCAGGTCTTACTTCTACCAGAATTTTGTGTAATTTGAATGCTTCTACCTCCTCTGGGGAGACCAAAATTAAAATTAGACCCAGTAGTGCCCTCGTGGGGGTGGTCATACCCTGCACCAAGGAAATAGGCAAAGGAGGACTAAGATAGGAGTCTCACTTATTTCTGCTTACTTATTTGAAATACGTAGTAGCTCTTACTAGTTTACCAGGCACTGTCCTAAGTTTTCATAAATATGAACTTAGTGGGTACAAATACATTTTTAAAAGATTTTATTTATTTGTCAGAGAGAGAGAGCGCACACAGCAGGCAGTAGCAGCAGGCAAAGGCAGGGGGAGAAGGCGGCTTCCTACTGTGCCATGCGGGACTCACTTCCAGGACCCTGGGATCATGGCCTGAGCCGAAGGCAGACGCTTAACGACCGAGCCAGCCAGGCGTCCGTCGTGGGTACAAATATTAATTTAGAGCTGTTGGCACAGGCTTAATTAACGTTGCTTATCTCCACTCTCCAGAAAAAAATGCAATTCGCCTCTGCCCCTTTAGCCAGCTCTCCCCCAACACCCCTAGACCAGTTCCCTGGGCTCTGACTCAAGCTCCGCTTCCGACTTTCTCACAGGCTCCACCTCCCGTCAATCAAAGCCCAGAAACCCGGAAGGCGAGTTGCCCAAGTGCTAAGCAACGGCACAGGCGGGAATTTTGAACGTTCTGGCACCGCCCCATATGCGGATGGACCAATCAGTGTCCAGCCGTCCCAGCAACTGTTTATTCCCTCTCTCGCTCGGTTGGATCTCCAGGCAGGATCCGGATCTTTCCGACCAATAGCCGCTAAGAAGGGCGGGGCGTGTGCGCGCGCACCCCGTCCTCACGCCGGTATGCCCCTCCTGCGGGCACTAGACTGTTAGTTACGCGGTTTCGTGCACGTAGCGACCCAGGTGACTGAAAACGCGGGAAGACGCCGCGAGTAGTCGGCGGCTGAGGGGGGAAAGTCTAGAGGTTCGGGCTGCGACCGTGGGGGTGTGGTTGGTAGTGGCGGAGAGAGGAGCGGTGCAGACTCCCCCCACAGGGCCGTCCAGCCAAAGCCCAACCTCTGCGTGACCGAAATGAGGGTGGGGCGAGTGGAGTTTTGCACAGTCTGGACCTCAGTGACGTACGTGAGAAGTCGCCCGTCAAAATGTTCCACAAATGTTAAAAAAAAAAAAATGTTACCGCAGCTCTCCCCGGCCCTCGCAGCCCTGCGCCTCAGCCGCCTCCCAGAAGTCCTGGGTGGGTTTGCGTTTCTGCGCAATCCCTACCCCAGCCTCCTCGCGGTGAAACCTCGCCCCTGAACCGCCTTCATTTTCTGCTCCCGCAGAGCCTCCAAGGCCATGGCTTCCGTCGGAGCGATCCCAGGCAGGACGCCGCAGGGCCCGGGGCCCGGGGCAGCCTCGGCCAGCTTTCCCAGCCTGGCCCCGGTGCCGGGCCGCGGGGAGTCCGAGGAGGAGGAGAACGAGCAGGAGCCGGCGGAGGTCTCTGGGGCGGTGTTGTCGCGAGCGGCAGGCGCATGGGTCCGGAGAGCGGGGCGTTGGTTGGACCGTCGGGGTGTTAGAATAAACGGGCTGGGAAGAGCTAGCTAGTCGCTTTTCTCTGCTCTATTTCACACTTACTGAATGGGGATGAGGATGACTGTCTCAGAGATTTGATAAAATGATTACAGTTAAGCAAGACATGGCATAACCTTGCATAACCCAGCAGTTCAAATATGTTTCCTTTCTTCCTCCGGGACAGATCCATCTGTGTGTCCTGTGGACTTCGGGATACTTGGGCATTGCCTATTATGACACTAGTGACTCCACCATCCACTTCATGCCAGATGCCCCAGATCACGAGAGTCTCAAGCTTCTCCAGAGAGGTGGGGGCAGAACCATGGGTTCCTCTACTCTGGGACTGGAGGTGTATTTCACTCATATATCCTCACCTGACTCAGTCTATTTTATTAGTTGACTCCTAGAGGCTCTCTTTGTTGTTTATAGGAATTCATTGCATTATTCAAGGAACATTTATTAGGTGCTTACAGTGTATCAGGTGCTGGACATACAGTCCTGGGCAAATCAGTCATGTCTGTCCTTCAGAGGTTTTTAGTCTAGTGACAACCTCCAGGCCACTCCTCTTCTCCTACCACCCTGCCAGTCCTACTACTCTTTTCCAAAACTTCATGCCTGACTCGTACCTATGCTCCCAATGTGCAGAGCACTTCTTAGTTTTAGAGGGAGGAAACGAGGGTGTTTTTTGTTTGTTTTTTGGGGGGTTTCTTGGAGGGGGTAAAGGGAGGTAGCAAGGGGAGGGCAATGGGTTCCCTCTTAGAGGATAAAGATCCTTTAACTCATTTGGTCTCCATTCTTCTAAGTGTTGGATGAAATCAATCCCCGGTCTGTTGTTACGAGTGCCAAACAGGATGAGAATATGACTCGGTTTCTAGGGAAGCTTGGTAAGGACTGGGTAAGGGGAAAAGTGAAGATGGGGAAGGACTAAACTGTGGAATATTCCAGGAGACTAAAGGGTCTTGGAGGGAGCTACAGCCAGGAGGCCAGAATTGGGTGAGAGGGAAGGTGGGACAGAAGCAGGGGACTGAGATGTCCAGACTGATGGCCCTTTCTTTGCTTCCCCCACAGCCTCCCAGGAGCACAGAGAGCCTAAGAGACCTGAAATCGTATTTTTGCCAAGTGTGGATTTTGGTACTTCCTTTGCTCTGCCCAGCCCCCCATCCCAGTTTCCCTACCCTTTCTCCTTACTCCAGCCCCATCATCAGAAGTCCCCCCTCAGCTTTATCTCATCCTAACCCTTGGTGTTCTCCAAGCCCCTTAACCAGTGTCCTCAAGATCTCTCCTGGTCCCTACTTTTTAATAACCTGAAACCTTGTGAAACTTCCACATAGACATGTCTAGGGATGAGGGCCTTCGCTGAGGAGTGGTGACACTTGGTGGATAGCTTTGATTGTTGGAATTTTCACCTTTAAGACAAAGCCATTTGAAAGTTAAAATCACCAATTAAAAAAAAAAAAAAGACAAAGCCATTTGTCTCTAAAAAAAAAAAAAAAGAAAGAAAGAAAAAAAGGCTGACTCTGATGATCCATAAGGCACTTCCATAACCTTCCCAGGCTTGCAAAAAGGATAGGGAATGTTCTATCCTAATTAGATGTTAAAACATTAGTATTATTCATTCCCCTATTAATATGATCTTTTTGACCCTGAATCCCAAATAGATACCTCCCTGAGTCACTCATCTTTCTCAGGTTGTGCTCTCAGCCAAAGATCTTTATATTAAATGTAAAATAAAGCGAGAATTAGACTGAGTCTGAAGATTTGGTTCTTGTTTCAGCTTTTCACTAACTGCCTGTGGCAGCTGGCAAGTCACATCATCTCTTCTATTGTCTCTCTCTTTTTTTTTTAAGATTTTATTTACTTATTTGTCAGAGAGTATTGTCTCATTCTTAAAATGGGGTAAGAAAGGGCGCCTGGGTGGCTCAGTTGTTAAGCGTCTGCCTTCGGCTCAGGTCATGATCCTGGGGTCCTGGGATCGAGTCCCGCATCGGGCTCCCTGCTCAGCAGGAAGCCTGCCTCTCCCACTCCCCCTGCTTGTGTTCCTGCTCTAGCTATCTCTCTCTCTGTCAAATAAATAAATAAAATCTTTAAAAAAAAAAAAAATGGGGTAAGAAAGTGACCTTTCTTTCCCATGCCTCCCCCAAAATAGGTCTGGAGATAAGTAAACAGCGCCTCCTTTCTGGAAACTACGCCTTCATTCCAGACTCCATGACTACCACTGAGAAAATCCTCTTCCTCTCCTCCATTATTCCCTTTGACTGCCTCCTCACGGTGAGAAGGGTCCTGGGATGCAGGGGCTGGGATGCAGCAGGCTGGAGAAAGGGACAAGCACCCCACTTCTAGGGTTGAGTCCTGGGAGGTGCTAGTCCAACCCTGGAAATAATAGTTTTCCCTGGTGTCGTCCAGCCTCAAGGACACTGGGACTGACCTCAACTCCATTCCTGATCCCCTCCCAGGTTCGGGCACTTGGAGGGTTGCTCAAGTTCCTGGGTCGAAGAAGAATTGGGGTTGAACTGGAAGACTATAACATCAGCGTCCCCATCCTGGGCTTTAAGAAATTTGTGTTGTAGGTGATTTACCCTAACCTTAAGCAAAGTTAGGTGGGATTGGGAGGCCTGAATAGTAAGACAGGGGTGGGGTACGGGGAAGTGGGCGGTGCCCCATCGGGTAAAGTGGTCTAGGACACATAGGAGCACCTGAAGGGGATGTGGAGCTCTGGGGAGAAGACTGAGAAGGGTGGAACCTAGCAATGGACTCACACCGCCCCATCCCAGCCACCTTCCCTTTTGCTTGTTTTCTGTCCTCAGGACCCATCTGGTGAGCATAGATCAAGACACATACAGGTAAGGAGATGGAGGCAGGCTGTCGTCTTGGGGGAGGGAGAAGGATTAAGTTTAATGCTCTAATAATCCTAATAAGGCTCCAGTTTCTTTAATCCTGGGGTTATTAAGGTCTGTCTCCTTGAAGGAAAGGGAAGAGAGGGCGAGGAGAAAGGACGAAAAGCACAAAGGTATCAAATAGATATCCTACCTTCCTGAGTCACTTATCCTGAAGAGAAAAACTGAGGCAGAGAGGAGTGTGGGACAGACCTTACAACAACACTTGATCTCAGGAGCGTGTCCCCAACCTCCATTCCATTTTCTGAATTCCCTTTAAAAACCCGTTACCTCAAACGCCTCCATTTCTCCCTGACAGCGTTCTGCAGATATTTAAGAGTGAGTCCCATCCTTCAGTGTACAAAGTGGCCAGCGGACTGAAGGAGGGGCTCAGCCTCTTTGGTGGGTATGCCCCTTCCCTCATCCCACACTATGAAAGCCTGCCAGAAAAGCAGCTGCCTCCAAACATGTGTCCCAGCCCCTTTCTTCCCACTTCACTCCCACTGCCAGATGTCTCTTCCACTCCCATCAGCTCGCTCGCACTCTCTCTCTCTTTTTTTTTTTAAGATTTTATTTATTTGACAGAGAGAGAGGCAGCGAGAGCAGGAACACAAGCAGGGGGAGTGGGAGAGGGAGAAGCAGGCTTCCTGGCAAGCAGGGAGCCCGATGTGGGGCTTGATCCCAGGACCTCAGGATCATGACCTGAGCCGAAGGCAGATGCTTAACGACTGAGCCACCCAGGCGCCCCTCCATCCAATTCTCTTTGTACCCTCCCTGAGCTTGGCATCTCCCCTCGCCCACAGTTGTCCAGTGTCATTTGCCTATCATCTCTGACTTTACCAATTCCATGTTCATTCCTTGGGCTTGCATGGATGTTTCCGCTAGTCGTGCACCTGTCCAGGGACTTGGGGAGGCCCTATGTATAACTGCCTAACTGCCCGTGTTTTATTGGCATTGAGTCTTTATCAGTTGTCTCTGGCTTTAGGGTATAGTCGGGACATCGCCCCAAGTATCCACATGGTTTCACTGTGCATATCTCGGTGGATTGTGTCTAATGTTTACATATACGTGTTGGGCTCTTTGTGATTCCAACTACAACCACTCTGTATTTTTCTGGCCAACTGTTCGTGGGAGTGCCCATCCCTCCCCTAAGCCCATGTAAGGTAATCCTGGCTCAGACCTGTGGCCAGGAGCTGGCTTTAGCTGCCTTTGTGTCCTGTATCCAGGGAACGCCCCCAGGCCAGCCTGCCCAACACCCGAACCTCTGGCCCGGATGCCTCATTTTAGACACATCCACACATTCCTTTCCCTGCCCCTGCCTTGTAACAAGCTTACTCCCTGCCCCTGCTCCTCCCCACAGGAATCCTCAACAGATGCCGTTGTAAGTGGGGAGAGAAGCTGCTCAGGTGAGTCTCACGGACATGCCACAGGCTCATGCATGCAGTCTACAGGCACATGCACACTCCATCCGGTAGTAATAAAAACAACTGCCCTTTCCCAAATGCTGGCTAAATGCATTTAATCCTTACAACAACCCCAAGTGGTAGCTAGTATTATCCTCATTTGATGTCAGCACAGATACCCATATGCCCATTGATGATACAGACTGGCACACACAAAAGCAGCAGAAACAGTCACAAAACACTAATGCACACATGGCAATATCTTTTTTTTAATTGAAGTGTAGTTGACATACAATATATTAGTTTCAGGTGTACAACATAGTGATTCAACGTTTATGTACATTATGAAGTGATCACCACGATAAATCTAGCTACCATCTGTCACCATGTAAAGTTGTTACAATATTACCAACTATATTCCTTATGCTGTACGTTGTCTTTTTTTTTTTTTAAGATTTTATTTATTTATTTGACAGAGACAGAGATAGCGAGAGCGGGAACACAAGCAGCAGGAGTGGGAGAGGGAGAAGCAGGCTTCCCCTCGAGGAGGGAGCCCAATGTGGGACTCGATCCCAGGACCCTGAGATCATGACCTGAGCCAAAGGCAGACGCTTAACCGACTGAGCCACCCAGGCGCCATGGTTTTTTTTTTTTTTTTTTTTTAAGATTTTATTTATTTGACAGACACAGCGAGAGAGGGAACACAAGCAGGGGGAGTGGGAGAGGGAGAAGCAGGCTTCCCGTGGAGCAGGAAGCCCGATGCGGGGCTCGATCCCAGGATCCTGGGATCATGACCTGAGCTGAAGGCAGCTGCTTAATGACTGAGCCACCCAGGCGCCCCGTTGTCTTTTTTTTTTTTTTTTAAAGATTTTATTTATTTGACAGAGAGAGACACAGCGAGAGGGGGAACAGAAGCAGGGGGAGTGGGAGAGGAAGAAGCAGGCTTCCCGCAGAGCAGGGAGCCCGATGTGGGGCTCGATCCCAGGACCCTGGGATCATGACCTGAGCCGAAGGCAGACGCTTAATGACTGAGCCACCCAGGCGCCCTCCGTTGTCTTTTTTTAATAACTGGAAGTTTCTACCTCATATGGTAGGGCTTTATTTTATTTATTTATTTTTAAAGACTTTATTTATTCATTTGACAGAGAGAGTGGGAACACAAGCAGGGGGAGTGGCAGACAGAGGGAGAGGGAGAAGCAGATTCCTCGCCAAGCAGCGAACCCTGACGTGGGACTCGATCCCAGGACCCTGGGATTATGACCTGAGCTGAAGGCAGACACTTAACCGACTGAGCCCCCAGGCACCCTGGGCTTTATTTTTTTTTTAATATATTTTTTTTAATTTTTATTTTTTAAATGTTTTTTTTTTTTTAAGATTTTATTTATTTGACAGAGAGAGACACAGTGAGAGAGGGAACACAAGCAGAGGGAGTGGGAGAGGGAGAAGCAGGCTTCCCGCGGAGCAGGGAGCCTGATGCGAGGCTCGATCCCACGACCCTGGGATCATGACCTGAGCCGAAGGCAGACACTTAATAACTGAGCCACCCAGGTGCCCCAAAGATTTTTTTTTAAAGATTTTATTTATTTAAGAGAGAGAGAGAAGGGGCAGAGGGAGAGGGACAAGCAAACTCCTCGCTGAGCAGGGAGACCAACGTGGGGCTCGATCCCAAGACCCTGAGATCATGACCTGAGCCGAAGTCAGATGCTCAACCGAATGAGACACCCAGGCGCCCCTAAAAGATTTTTTTTATTTTAAGTACAATATACCCCCCAACATGGGGCTCCAACTCACTATCCCAAGATCAAAAGTCACATGCTCTACCGACCAAGCCAGCCAGGCACCCCACACAGTACTATCTTTAATTATAAAAACCATACTTCAAATTTGAGCTATTTTTTTTTTTTTTTAGATTTTTATTTATTTATTTGAGAGAGACAGATAGAAGGAGAGCAGAGGGAGAGTGAGAAAGGGAGAAGCAGACTCCCTGCCGAGCTGGGAGCCCGATGTGGGACTCAATCCTGGGACCCCGAGATCATGACCCAAACTGAAGGCAGACACTCAACCGGCTGAGCCATCCAGGCACCCCTAAATTTGAGCTATTCTCTGATGACTTTCAAAATTGTGTCTCTAGTTCCAAATTCCGTATGTAGAATGCACACTGCACATCATCCCCACTTGCAATTTCCACATAGTTCAAACTCAGAGCATCTAAACCGATGCCCACTGGGCCCGTTCCTCTTCCTGCACCTTTTTTTTCTGGCTAATGGCATTGCTGGCAATACTACTTCTCAAGTGCTGAACCTTGGATTGATGCTTCTCCTTCACCTTTCATATTCAGTTATTCACTAAAGCCTATTGATTCTACCCTGAGATGCCTTTCTCAGCCATCTCCCTCCCTCTTCCCACGGCTCTAATTCTGGCTATAATCATTTCCAACCTGGAGCATCACAGTCACCTTCAAAGTGGTCTCTCTGCCTCTAATCTCTTCTTTTTCTAATTGTCCTTCGTTCCAAAATACTTGTTATTCCAAAATAGATATCTGAGCGTGTCACTCCACTTTTTTAAACCTTAAGTAGAAACAAAATAACATAAACCTCAGGAGGCTTCCCCATTCCCTGCCGGGGTGAAGATCAGCATCTTTAGCAGTATGGTGTTCAGAGGCCCTCCCATTCACCTCAACTTAAATTTCCATGATTATCTTCTCTAGCCCTGCCTAAGTCCTTTCTCACTGGATCCACCCTATATTCCAGTTGTTTGGGCCACTTTCCGTCATGGGAATACACCAAGCCTGTGTTTATGCAGTTCCTTCTGGAAAGTCTTTCCCTTGTTCTTCACCTGTCAGAATCTTACATCCTCTTCAAGGTGCAAGCCCACTATCACCCCTTCCGTGAAACCTTCACAGGCACCTCTAGGGAGACTGACATGCTCCTTCCCGTTTGCTTAGTGCCTGTTTATGTTTTCTGGCTGCACTGTCACATCAGCTTGGAGTTAGCGGTCAGTGAACCTGCTTGCTCTCATAACTGCAAGCTCCATACAGTGGTCATACCTGTGACCTCAGTGCCTGGCACATGGCCTTGGATATGGTAGCACCCAGTGAGTGAGCACGGTACCCAGATGCAAGCACATGGGTCACATGGTCTCTACAAACTCAGAGCTGAAAGCTTTGATAGCCCACAGGTGCACAATTCTTTCCCCACCTCACCTGCCCTGCACTGTGTGTCTTTTGGAGGTTTTTAGGATAATCCCTGAGGTCATCTCCAGGTAATTGGGATCATTTAATCACCCCCACATTCTACAGGTGCAGATCTCTCATCTCAGCAAGGGATGAGAGGGAAGGAATTCTTAGTGGAGAAGAGAACAGAGTTAAAGTTGGGGAGGAGTGCAGATCCCCCAGGTAGGTTCCAGCAGGGCATGGAAACATAACCTGAATTATGAACTAAGGACCCAATTGGCCCAGCTGAATGGGGCACCAGGAAGGTGACTGAATGTCACATTGCTCTGAAGAGCACTGTCCTAGCCGTCTGCAGACCTGAGTTCGAGACCCAGCTATACTTCTTACTAGCCCCATGACTTTGGACAAGCTGCTTATTCTCTAAGCGCTTCATTTTCTCAGCTGTAAAATTAGGAGGTTTAGCTTGACTAAGATTTCTCCCGGCACTAGCGTATATGAGTCAGAAAAACCTCAGGATTTTACAAGATAGGCAGCTTGGCAAAGCTCTCCAAGGTAGGGACAGGTATTCACAGTCTGCCCTACACTTGCTGCAGGTGGCTGAGGAACAGAGGTGCCTAAAACCCACCCTCGAATCCCACTCAGCCCTCCGCTTCACTCTAGCCTGGGGTGCTCTAACCCAGGGTGACTGGCCCTCTACTGTGGTGTGAGATACACATCCCCGGGCCCCAGCGTCTCCACAGGTTGCTTCTTGTATAAAATAGCATATGCCTAATGGCCGCTCTAATGCAGAAAAGAACTCATGGGCTCACAGGTCCTTGCACAGTCGCACACTCTCCGTAGCCACGGAAAGACAGGGACACCCAGATTCAGACAAACCCAGATGAGACATTTATTATTGTATACTAATTTAATTTATTAGCAAATACCTCAGGCACACAAAAGGTGGAAGTAATAATGGTGATGATGATGATGATGATATAAACTTCTATGTTTACACCAGCAAAACTAAGAATAAGATAATGTTATTAAAGGGGTGCCTGGCTGGCTCAGTGGGTAGAGCATGTGACTTTTGATCTTGGGGTCATGAGTTCAAGCCCCACGTTGGGCATAGAGCTTACTTGAAAAACGGTGGGGTGGGGGGCGTGGTGGCCTGGGTGGCTTAGTAGGTTCAGCGTCTGATTTTGGCTCAGGTCATCATCTCAGTGTCCTGGGATGGAGGCCCTGCATCAGGCTCCCCGCTCAGCAGGGAGTCTGCTTGTCCCTCTGGCCCTCCCCGTGTTCGTGCCCTCTCTCTCTCTCAAATAAATAAATAAATAAATATTTATTTCTTAAAGTCTAAAGAAAAGAGAGACAATGTTATGGAAGCCTCTTAAAGTGTCCCTTCCCAATCCTTCTCTCTGCAGAGATGACCATTATCATGAATTGAGGATGTACTGTTCCGCATGGAATGGCTATATACTTTCACAGAAGAACAGGAAAAGACGAACGTCTGTGCTATTACACCCAAGGGACTTTCACAGCCAAATGCATTTAAACTCATGCTGACTCACCCTCTCCTACTCAGCCGCAGAGAAAGCTAGAGTGTTGGCACACAAATACTTCAATACGCTGCTCTCCCTCTAAATATTGACAAGCTCCACTGCATATCCACATGGAATGACACATGGTCACATGCATCAAAACCATGATAAACAGTCGTGCTCACATGCAGAGATTTTTAGTAGACATGTGTAAACACACCCGCACAGATAGGACACTGGGCTTGCCAGTACAGATCCATATCACCACAATCCCCAGGGCCCTCCAAACACACACTGTCACAAATTGAGATCAAGACAGTGATGAGGGGGCGCCTGGGTGGATCAGTCAGTTAGGTGTCTGCCTTCAGCTCAGGTCATGATCCCAGAGTCCCAGGATCAAGCCCCGTGTTGGGCTCCCTGCTCCGTGAGGAATCTGATTCTCCCTCTGACCCTCCCTCCTTCTCGTGCTTGCTCTCTCTCTCTCCCTCTCAAATAAATCTTTTTTTTTCATTTTTATTTTATTTTTTAATTAACATATAATGTATTGTTTCAGGGGTACAGGTCTGTGATTCATCAGTCTTACACAATTCATAGCGCTCACCATAGCACATACTCTCCCCAATGTCCATCACCCAGGCACCCCATACCTCCCATCCCCCTTCACTCCAACAACCCTCAAATAAATAAAATCTTAAAAAAAAAAAAAAAAAAGACAATGATGAGCACAGATGTAATTTCTGGTCCCCTACTTCATCCCTCACTTTTAGGCTGTGGTTCACACGTCCAACTCAGGACCTGGGAGAGCTAAATGCTCGGTTGGATGTCATTCAGTTTTTCCTCCTACCTCAGAATCTGGACATAGCTCAAATGCTGCATCGGTTGCTGGGTCATATCAAGAATGTACCTGTGAGCCCAGGGTGGGGGCAGGGAGGTGGGGAAGGAGCTTGAGGGTCGGTAGTAGACATTGGGCTTCTTGGGGGGCACTAGAGTGGGAGAAGGGAAACAGTGGCCGTCCCCTTGTCTGACTGTAGCTGATTCTGAAACGCATGAAGCTGTCCCACACCAAGGCCAGCGACTGGCAGGTTCTATACAAGGTAAGGCCTCCCTTCTAGAAGCCCAGAGGTCCAGGTTAAGCCTCTCAGCAGGCAATCCAGACCCTGTGTACTCTGCTCACCCGTCCAACTTTTTCCCAACACTTTAACAACAACAACTTTGTATTGTGGAAACTCAAAAAAATTTAGAATAATATAATGAACCCCCATGTACCCAGCATGCAGCTTTAACACCTAGACTCATACTAGTGTTGTTTCATGTATATCTTCTCCCTCTTTCCCCTTCCTGGATTAGTTTGAAGCAATTCCCAGCCATCATATCATTTCACCTATAACTATTTCAGTATGATTTCTAAAAGAAAATTGCTTTTAAAAAAGAATAACAATACCATAATCTTACTAACAATTAACATAATTCTTGAATATCATCAATTATCTGATGTTCACATTTCTAATCCTCTCTTAAATGTCATGATTTAAAAAAATACATTTTGTAGGGCGCCTGGGTGGCTCAGTCATTGGGCGTCTGCCTTCGGTTCAGGTCATGATCCCAGGGTCCTGGGATCAAGCCCCACATCTGGCTCCCTGCTCACTGGGGGGCCTGCTTCTCCCTCTCCCACTCCCCCTGCTTGTGTTCCCTCTCTCTCTGTGTCTCTCTGTCAAATAAATAAAATCCTTGGGAAAAAAATACATTTTGTTTAATTAGGATGCAAATATGTTCAACATATGGCAATGGGATGATGTCTCTTGAAGTCCCCTTTGTGGGTTCCTTTTTCATTTCACTGTTCTCCCTCCATCTCTATCTCAATCTTTAGTTTTCTTTTTCCCCTTGCAAGTTATTTGGTGAAGAAATTGGATCGTTTGTCCAGTAGAGTTTTCCTTAACCTGGATTTTGCTGATTACATTCTGTACGTGTTTTTGACATGTTTTACTCTCTTCTAGAATTTTTGTTAATAGTTGGATCTAGAAGATTGACCAAATCCAAGTTTGATTTTTTTTTCAATACTGTTTTATAAGCAGAGGAATATAATGCCTGATACGTCTGTCTCTCTTTTTGTGATGTTAGCAGCTTTTGATGTTTAATACCTAAGTCCATTAATTCCTTAGAGATTGCAAAGTAGTGTTATTCTGTTATTCTTTCTCCATTTATTAGTCTGAATGTTTCTGTAAAGAGAAACTTCCTCTCATCTGCTTTTTGGTTACTCAGTGGTGCATTTCATATCGTAGAAATTGCTTGATTTTCTCCCCTGCCTTTATTTACCAGCTCTTCAGCATATAGGAAATTATTAGTTCCCTAACATGCCCCAAGGTAGCCAATGTATTTTTTGTTGTTTTAGTATCATCACAAACTCAGATTTACACATGTTTCAGTCCATTGCATTTTTAATCTTTCTACATGTTCAGATTATTCCATCTGTGGCCAATGGGAGCCTCTTCATGTTGGCTTCTGAGTCCCTTAAACATGACCCCAGTAGACGTCTGCACTTGATAGCTCCCCTCCTGCTCTCTCGTTTGAGAAGATGTACCAGATACATCATTTACATCTCCTGGTTCTTTCTTCTTTTAAATTATATGGATTTATTTTAAGTAATCTCTACACCCAAGGTGGGGCTTGAACTCACAACCCTGAGATTAAGAGTTGCGTGCTCTACTGACTGAGCCAGCCAGGTGCCCCTACATCTCTTGGTTCTGACCCAGAACCAGATCTTTCCCAAAGAGCACTGGTTCCTTTTAGAGAAAAATGGCATTTCTGTATCACAGTCTGAATCCTAGAGGATGCACACACAGCATGTTTTGCTTATTGCTTTAAAGGCTTTTCTGCAGACATATCTAGAATTTTTTTTTTTTAAAGATTTTATTTATTTATTTGACAGAGACAGAGACAGCGAGAGCAGGAACACAAGCAGGGGGAGTGGGAGAGGGAGAAGCAGGCTTCCTGCTGAGCCAGGAGCCCGATGTGGGACTCGATCCCAGGACCCTGGGATCATGACCTGAGCTGAAGGCAGTCGCTTAACCAACTGAGCCACCCAGGTGCCCGATATCTAGAATTTTTAAAAAGTAAAATACATGACAAATTGGTACTGATACCAGCAATTTAAATTCAGAAGCACAGGGTTCTTACCTTGTATATTCCTATACTATTCTCTTCAACCTTCCTTCTAGTTCTCAGTAACACTAGGAATGATAAGATTAGAATATCACTCATTTTCTTTTCTTACATTACATCCACAACAATCTTAGTATAGCAATACCAGCACTACTACCAATGATATTATTGCTGAAAATAAGATTTTTTCGGGGGAAGAAGGGAAGTTCTTTTTGTCCCTACTAAGGATACAGCCAAATGACTGTGTTTTAGTCACTTGGAATAGTTCCTCTCTGTGTGGTTATGTCACTAACTGAATATACATTTGTGTTCATTTGTTTCATTCTATTTTTGATTTTTAGGAATTGGTTTTTAATTTTTTGTTAAAGATTTTATTTATTTTATTTGTCAGAGAGAGGGAGAACCCAAGCAGGGGGAGCGGTAGGCGGAGCAGTTAGAACAGGCAGAGGGAGAAGCCGGCTCCCCACTGAGCAGGGAGCCTGATGTGGGGCTCAATCCCAGGACCCTGGGATCATGACCTGAGCCAAAGGCAGTCACTTAACCAACTGAGCCACCCAGGCGCCCCTGGTTTTTTAAGATTTAATTTACTTTTATAATTATGTAAAATATTTACGCAGTTCCAAAATGTAACCTCCCAAACAAGGTATAGGCAACTAATTCTGGTTTCTATCTTTTCCCCCTTTCTACCTTTAACATTTTCTTTAAAAAATGTTTAAGATTTATCCTTCTGTTGTTTTTAATTTATTTTTTAAAAAATAATTTAAGATGTAAAGAAAAGCCACAAAAATTGTACAGGGTGTTCTCATATACCTTTTCACTCAGCTTCCATTAATGTTAACATCTTATAAAAAAATGTTAGCATGTTACATAATCATAGGCCAATTATCTCATAAATATTTTATGAGTTATAATTCAATGCTGTTTATTTTTGCTCACATTTTTCTAGTTTAGATCTTTGAGAGTTCTTTTCAGATTGGCTTTTAATATGCCCATTGGCCTTCAGATTGGCTTTTCAAATTCAGATAGGCTTTTGATAATGCCCTTCTGACATGGCCCCCAGTCCATTTTTGAACACTTCATAAGTTTCTACCGCTACAAGATGCTCCAGGCTCATCTTATATTTTCCTTGCCCCAGCCCTGGAATCAACCATTTCTCCAAGGAGTCCTGGTTACCTTCTTTGGAGAACAGTATTAGAAACCAGATCTGGACACTAGACGTGGTTATTACTACTGGGGTATCTGTCACTTCTCACCACGGACAGAGCTAAGAAATAAATCCTTGTATGCTAACCTTCCTCAATATGAAATCCTTTCCTCTATTAAAGCACCTACCATTTTATTTTTAAATTTTCTGGGTCTATTTCTGTCTTTCTCACTAGACCATGAGCTCATCTGGGACAGGGGCCACATTTTAGTTCTTTGTGGCCTCACTGTTGAGTGGAGTGCCTGACACAGAGTTTTACAGATGCCATTTCCTCACTTACTGTTTCTTCTTTGCCTTTGAGATCCTCTTTCTTACTGTGTTTTCTCCCCTGTCCTTCCCTGTCCCCTCGCCTCAGCCCGCCTTCTGTCCATTTCTGCTACAGACTGTGTACAGTGCCCTGGGTCTGAGGGATGCCTGCCGCTCCCTGCCCCAGTCCATCCAGCTCTTTCAGGACATTGCCCAAGAGTTCTCTGACGACCTGCACCATATCGCCAGCCTCATTGGGAAGGTGGTGAGTGGAAGAAAGAGGCAGAGCCCCTGGGGACCTAGGGGAGAGAGGTGGGATTGGAGGATGGAGAAAGACCGGGCTCTGGGGAATGTGGTGTTGAAGATGGGAGACATCAAGGTCAGTTGGGTGACCAAAGAATGGGATGGTGAGAGGAGGTGGCAGAACATCAGAGACATGCTTGGAGGGTTAGAGTCAAAACAGGAAATGCAGGGAGAATAGGGGCCCAAGGAGAGGTGAGGAACAGGACTGGGGACGGTTCTGGGTGATGAGCAACTAGACTTTTTATCTCCTCAGGTGGACTTTGAGGGCAGTCTTGCTGAAAATCGCTTCACAGTCCTCCCCAACATAGATCCTGACATTGATGAGAGTGAGTGTTGGGTGTGCAGTTGGGCCTGTGAGCCCTGAAACACGAGCCCACCCAGTGACGGGGTACCATCATCAGTAGGTGGCCACTACAACCGGGGATAACTGGGGCCAACATGGCAGGAACCTTACTTTTGATACCCACATGTCTTCCACCCTCCTAGAAAAACGAAGGCTGATGGGACTTCCCAGTTTCCTCACTGAGGTCGCCCGGAAGGAGCTAGAGAATCTGGACTCCCGTATTCCTTCATGCAGTGTCATCTACATCCCTTTGGTGAGGGCAGGAGGGTGTGTGTAACCCCCAGGGATCTTTTATGGGAGATATTAAGCTCTTGAAGGACACACTGCTAGATAAGAAAACTCCTGGAGAAGCCTAAAGAATATGAACACCCTGTGGTAGCTTTAGACCCCTGAGGGAAGCACTGCAGGAATGCAGAACTCTGGTGTCCTCCAGGGAGATAAGGTGCCCAGTACTTGGTACTTTACTCCCTGTTTTATCTCTTTACTCTCCTCAGATTGGCTTCCTTCTCTCTATTCCCCGCCTGCCTTCCATGGCAGAGGCCAGTGACTTTGAGATTGAAGGACTGGACTTTATGGTAAGACCCTTGACCTCTGTAGGGGGTGATAAGAGAAATAAGTCAATAGCTGAGGGAGGGCCTTACCCTATCAGTACTTCCTAATATGGGTTGTCTCTTCTATAGTTCTACTTTGATCCTTACCAGCTCTGAGATAAAAGGGAAAGAAGTCAGGGTGGGAAAGAGATGAAACATCTGTACTCTGAAAACTATAAAACCTTGATGAAAGAAATTGAAGATGACACAAGGAAATGGAAAGGCATTCCATGCTCTGGGTTGGAAGAACAAATATTGTTCAAATGCCTATACTACCCAAAGCAATCTACAGATTTAATGCAATCCCCATCAGAATAACAACAGCATTTTTCACAAATTATCCTAAAATTGGTATGGAACATAAAAGACCCCAAATAGCCAAAGCAATCTTAGAAAAAAAAAAAACAAAAAAACTGGAGGTATCACAATTCCAGAGTTAAAGTTGTATCACAAAGTTGTAGTAATCAAAACGGTATGATGTTAGCACAAAAATAGACACAGATCAATGGAACAGAACAGAAAGCCCAGAAATAAACCCATGATTATATGGTCAATTAATCTTTTTTTTCAAGATTTTATTTATTGGGGCGCCTGGGTGGCTCAGCCAGTTAAGCATCTGCCTTTGTCTCAGGTCATGATCTCAGGGTCCTAGGATTGAGCCACATGTTGGGCTCCCTGCTCAGTGGGGGGTCTGCTTCTCCCTCGTCCTCTGCCCCTCTCCTCCCTCCCCCACCCTTCCTGGCTCTTGCTCTCTCTCTCTCAATCAGATAAATAAATAAAATAAGGCACCTCTGGTCAATTAATCTTTGACAAAGCAGGAAAGAATATGCAATGGGGAAAAGGCAGTCTCTTCAACAAATGGTGTTGGGAAAACTGGACGGCAACGTATAATAAGAATGAAACTGGACCATCTTTTTTTTTTTTTTTTTTAAGATTTTATTTATTTATTTGACAGAGAGAGACACAGCGAGAGAGGAAACACAAGCAGGGGGAGTGGGAGAGGGAGAAGCAGGCTTCCCACGGAGCAGGGAGTCTGATGCGGGGCTCAATCCCAGGACCCTGGGACCATGACCTGAGCCGAAGGCAGATGCTTAACGACTGAGCCACCCAGGCGCCCCTAGACCATCTTCTAACACCATACACAAAAATGAATTCAAAATCAATTAAAGACCTCAATGTGAGGCCTGAAACCATAAAAATCCTAGAAGAGAACACAGGCCGTAATTTCTCTGACACTGGGCACAGCAACATTTTTCTAGGTATGTCTATTGAGGCAAGGAAAACAAAAGCAAAAATAAACTATTGGGACTACATAGGGGTGCCTGGGTGGCTCAGTCTGTTAAGTGTCTGAGTCCTGGTTTTGGCTTAGGTCATGATCTCAGGGCCGTGAGATCAAGCCCTGTGCTGGGCTCCTCACTTAGCACAGAGTTGGCTCGTTCCTCTCCCTTCCCCTCTGCTCCTCCCCCCACTCATGCTCTCTCTCTAAAATAAATAAATAAATAAATATATAAATATATAAATAATCTTTAAACTACTGGGACTACATCAAAATAAAAAGCTTCTGCACTGCAAAGGAAACAACCGATAAAAGACAACCTACTGAATGGCAGAAGCTATTTGCAAATGACATACCCAATAGAGGTATGCAATATATAAAGAACTTAAGGGCAGTTTGGCATGAGACTCTTGATCTCAGGGTTGTGACTTCGAGCTCCACTTTGGGTGCAGAAATTATTTAAATAAATAAAAAGAAACGTACATAACTCAACACCAAAAAAACAAATAATCTAATTAAAAAATAGGCAGAAGACATGTTCAGACATTTGTCCAAAGAAGACACATCCAGATGGCCAAAAGACACATGAAAAGATGCTCAACATCACTGATCATCAGGGAAATGCAAATCAAGACCACAATGAGGGGCGCCTGGGTAGCTCAGTCGGTTAGGTGTGCCAACTCTTGATTTTGACTCTGATCATGATCTCAGGGTCATGAGATCGAGCCCTGCATTGGGCTTTGCACTCAGCACAGAGTCTGCTTCTCTCCCTCTCCTGCTGCCCCTCCTCCCTCTCCCTCTCAAATAAATAAATCTTAAAAAAAAAAACAAAAAACCACAATGAGATATCACCTCATACCTGTTAGAATGGCTAAAATTAAAAAATCAAAAACTCAAGACACAACAAGTGTTGGTGAGGATGTGGAGAAAAAGGAACCCTCATGCACTGTTGGTGGGAATGCAAACTGGTGCAGCCACTGTATGGAAGTTCTTCAAAAAATTAAAAATAGAACCACCCAATGATCCAGGAATCGCACTACGGAGTATTTACCCAAATATACCCAGAGAATACAAAAACACTAATTCAAAGGGATACATGCACCTCTATTTTATAGCAGCATTGTCTACCATAGCCACGCTGTGGAAGCAGCCCAAGTGTCCACTGATAGATGAATGGATAAAGAGGATATGGTATTACATACAGTGGGATATTACTCAGCAATAAAAAAGGACAAAATCTTACCATTTGCAGTGGCATGGAGTATTATGCTAAGTATAATAAGCCAGTCAGAGGAAGACAAATTCCATATGATTTCACTCGTATGTGGAATTTAAGAAACAAATGGACAAAGAGAAAAAGAGACAAACCAAAAAACAGACCCATAACTATAGAGAACAAACTGATGGTTACCAGAGGGGAGGTGGGTAGGGGGATGGGTGAAACAGGTGGAGGGGATTAAGAGTCCACTCATTTTGACCGGCACAGAGTAATGTGCAGAATTGTTGAGTAATGTACACCTGAAACTAATATAACACTGTATGCTAATGATACTGGAATTAAAAAAAGAGTTGTAGAAATCATCAGCGGAAGGCATAACTAAACTAGTCTTTAAGAATGAATATTTGGCGGTTCTCCACCACCAACATGAAGACCTAGTTGCATTTCTGCAATTCAAGTACAGAATGCCGGGGCCCAGTTTCACATGTGCCGTATCCAGGGGTGGTTAATCAGGGCTCATTCGTCCTCACCCTGCTCCTTTGTTCAAAGGGCTTTGTTCCTTTCAACAAGCCTGTTCAGCTTCAGCACAAGTATCAAAGAAACAATGACTTCAGAGGAGGTAAGAAGGAATACTCCAAAGGATTCACTGAGGAAAATTCAGCCCGTATCCTAGGAAAGAGCCCCACATTGGTAAGAATTTCATGAACAAATCAGACCTTGCCAAAAGGATCCATGGACTTAAAAAAACAAAGATGTTTGAGATTGTTTTTAATTGTTATTTTGTCACTAATTTAAGAATTAAATTGTAAACATTGGATACTCACCAAGGAACACCATGTTCTAAAGGGAGGGCTTTAAGTTTTGAAGGCAGCTGAACCCCAAATACTCCAGTACTTGTGGTGTGGCCTTCCACAAGGCCTCGTCTTAAACTCTTTTCAGCTCTCCATCCGCCAGTATCCAGTAAGGAGAAACAAATGCCATTCCAGCTATTTCTAATGGAAGGAATTTAATACAGGGAATTGGTTGTACAGTTAATGGGAGAACTGAAAGAGAAACTCAAAAGCTGGGACAACGCAGATGTCCATGTCAACAGAAAGCTGCTTCCACCCCCGAGGCTGAAGAGACAACGGGAAGAAGTGGGCCAGCAGAGCCTTAGACCTTGAAACAGTGGGAGCTAGAACCCTAGAGAGGATTCAGCCAAATAGGAGAAACTCCTAAGGCAGAGGGAGAAATGTCCTGGCTTCTCCTCTTATCTGCCCTGCCATGGTGGAAACTTCCTGGAAGCCAGTTGGCCATGTATTCATGCTTCCCTAGTGTCTTTCTCTCTGTGTTCCTGTAAAAATAGAAAATAAATTTTTTATTTTATTTGGAGGGGAGCAAAAAAAAATGAATATTTGGCGGGGGGGGGCACCTGAGTGGCTCAGTCAGTTAAGCGTCCAACTCTTTTTTTTTTTTTTTTTAAGATTTTATTTATTTATTTGACGGAGAGAGACACAGCGAGAGCAGGAACACAAGCAGCCAGAGTGGGAGAGGGAGAGCAGGCCTCCTGTGGAGCAGGGAGCCCGATGTGGGGCTCGATCCCAGGACCCTGGGATCATGACCTGAGCCTAAGGCAGCCGCTTAACGACTGAGCCACCCAGGTGCCCCAAAGCGTCCAACTCTTAGTTTCAGCTCAGGTCATGATCTCAGGGTTGTGAGATCGAGCCCCACCTCAGATTCCATGCTGAGCATGGAACCTGCTTAAGATTCTCTCTCCCTCTCTCTCTCTGCCCCTTCCCCCCAATCCACACTTCCTCTCTCTCTCTTTAAAAAGAAAAAAAAGAATGAATATTTGAATGATAAACTTATAAAGAAAATAAGGAATTGATTCCCAAAGAGGTCAGAATAGAGGTTACTTTTGAGGAGTTGGAGAGGATTGTGATTAGGATGGCTCTCTGGGGTAGCTGACAAAATTTTAGCTTTTTTTTTTTTTTTTTTTTTAAGATTTTATTTATTTATTTAAAAGAGACAGAGAGCGAGAGCAGGAACACAAGCAGGGGGAGTGGGAGAGGGAGAAGCAGGCTTCCCACGGAGCAGGGAGCCCGATGTGGGGCTCGATCCTAGGACCCTGGGATCACAATCTGAGCCGAAGGCAGACACTTAATGACTGAGCCACCCAGGCGCCCGAAAATTTTAGTTTTTTAACCTACTTTGCAACCTACGTGGTTGGTTACAAGGGTATTTGCCTCATAACAATTCCTTAAGCTATATATTTGTTTTCTGCATCTGTTCTTTTTTTTTTTTTTAAGATTTTATTTATTTATTTAAAAGAGACAGAGGCAGAGGCAATAGCAGGAACACAAGCAGGGGGAGTGGGAGAGGGAGACGCAGACTCCCCACTGAGCAGGGAGCCCAATGCGGGGGTCCATCCCAGGACCCCGGGATCATGACCTGAGCCGAAGACAGACACTTAACCAACTGAGCCACCCAGGCACCCTCTGCATCTGTTCTATTTTTATTTATTTATTTATTTATTTTAAAGATTTTATTTATTTATTCATGAGAGACAGAGAGAAACAGAGGGAGAAGCAGGCTCCCAAGGAGCGGGAAGCCCGATGTGGGACTCGATCCTAGGACCCTGGGATCATGACCTGAGCCGAAGGCAGACGCTTAACCATCTGAGCCACCCAGGCGCCCTCTGTTCTATTTTTAAATAAAAGTTTTTTAAAAGAAAAAAAAAAGTCGGCGTGGGGCCAGACGTGGTGTTAGAGAAGATGGGGACCAAGAATGCAAAGCCCACAGCTTTGAGCCCTTGTTCCCAGTTTCTGTCAGAGGAGAAGCTGCACTACCGTAGTGCTCGAACCAAGGAGCTGGATGCATTGCTGGGGGACCTGCACTGTGACATCCGGGGTGAGGAGAAGCAAAAGGCTGGAAGGGCGGGCAGCTTGGGGTGTCTCGGACTCTATCTGCACGCCTGTTTCCAGGTGTCCCCTGGCTTCTTTGTCTCTTCTTCCTTTTCCCATGGAGCTGATGCCCAGCTCCCTCCCTCCCTCACCCCCAGACCAGGAGACCCTGTTGATGTACCAGCTGCAGTGTCAGGTGCTGGCACGGGCCGCTGTCTTGACCCGGGTGTTGGACCTTGCCTCCCGCCTGGACGTCCTGCTGGCTCTTGCCAGTGCTGCCCGGGACTATGGCTACTCAAGGCCCCGTTATGCCCCCCAGCTCATTGGGGTCAGAATCCAGAATGGCAGGTGAGAACAGAAGGGGGTGGAGGCATAGACACAAGGGGCCCAAAGGCCCCATCTTCTGGTGGCTTCATTCGTCTGCATTCAGAGGCCACGTGTGAGGTACCTTTCTACCCACTGCAGACATCCTCTGATGGAACTCTGTGCCCGAACCTTCGTGCCCAACTCTGCAGAATGTGGTGGGGACAGAGGGAGGGTCAAAGTCATCACTGGACCCAATTCCTCAGGGAAGAGCATATACCTCAAACAGGTGAGGAGAGTCCCTGCACATTGGGCCTCTGGCATCTTCTTCATTGTCTCCATCTCCCACCTGCCTGCAAACACAGGTCCCTGCAGCTCCTCCCTGGTGTTCTGACCCGACCTGTCATGGAAAGGCCATCGTGCACACATGTTCTCCTCTCTACTTGAGGGAGAGCCATGCTCTAACGGATCCCTCTGTGGCCTGAAAGCCTCTCCCCACCTCTGAACAGGGCCGTGCTGTTCCCAAGTGTGCCTCTGTCCACTCTCCCGCCCTCTTTCCTGATTCTAAAGAGAGCTGAGGGGGCTATCCTCTCCTATTAGACTGTGTCTGCCCACCTTGATCTATAATTCACCCCTCAGCCTTGCCTCACCCCCACCCCGGCCCACACCACCAGGCCCAAGACCTTGTCTCCTCCACGTTTAGGTAGGCTTGATCACATTCATGGCCCTGGTGGGCAGCTTTGTGCCAGCAGAGGAAGCCGAAATTGGGGCTGTAGATGCCATCTTTACCCGAATCCACAGCTGTGACTCCATCTCCCTGGGCCTCTCTACCTTCATGATCGACCTCAACCAGGTCAAAGGGAGCAAAGGGTGGTGGGGCTGGGGGAGGGTGTTAGTGCGGAAGGAACTCTATTCTTGAAAAATGATCAGAACAAGAAAACCATTCCGTCTCCTGCATGCCTTCTGTATTAGGGGCAGGGAGCACCAAGTTCAGACACTGTGAGAATCAATACCATGAACCTTTCCTGAACCTTTGCTTTGCATGAGGCACTGTTGGCAATGAAAGGATGAACAAAACACGAGTCTTGCTATTAATGAACTTGCAGTCCAGGAGGGTGGACACACACACAAGCAGCTGTGGTCAGTGCGTTGCAGGACTTGAACACTACTGAAACGCTCCCTTGTCCACCTGGTGCCCAGCAGATGGCGAAAGCAGTGAACAATGCCACCAAGCAGTCTCTGGTCCTCATTGACGAATTTGGAAAGGGAACCAACACGGTGAGGAGACAAGCTGATGAGAAACTGAGGAGGGGAAAATGGTGGGGAGGCTCAGGAGAGGAATAGAGGGTATGTGGGCAGAAAAGAAACAGAAAAGCGCAAGATGGGGACAGCTAGGGCAGGTGGAGAGGTGCACACGGGGGCACCTGTGGTTCAGTACCCTCACCCTTGCCCTGTGCGCAGGTGGACGGGCTCGCACTTCTGGCCGCTGTCCTGAGACACTGGCTGGCACTTGGACCCACGTGCCCTCACATCTTTGTGGCCACCAACTTTCTGAGTCTTGTTCAGCTCCAGCTGCTGCCACAAGGGCCCCTTGTACAATATTTGGTAAGGATACCAATCTAGCCCTCTGGGGCTCCCTAGGAGGAACATTTACCAGAACCCAGAACAGCCTCCTCAGTTAGAACAGAGGCATCCTTCCCGTTTCTCACTCCCCACAGGGATTGGCCAAGGGTTTCAGGACAGGACGCAGAGTGACTCATGACATACTGTCCCCTTCTATCTCTTTTAAGACCATGGAGACCTGTGAGGATGGAGACGACCTAGTCTTCTTCTATCAGGTGTGTGAAGGTATTGCCAAGGCCAGCCATGCCTCCCACACAGCTGCCCAGGCTGGGCTTCCTGACCAACTCCTTACTCGTGGCAAGGAGGTGAGATCCAAAGGTCAAACACCTCCATCAGGGCTCCCTACTGTTGTCCCTACTCCTCTCAGGGGCCTGGGTTTCTGGGTCCATGGGATTTCTGACCCTTATTTCCAGTTCTCTTACCCAACTCCCCCACCCCCACTTCTTGTTGCTAGGTCTCAGACTTGATCCGCAGTGGGAAACCTATCAAGCCTGTCAAGGAGTTGCTAAAGGAGAAGCAAATGGAAAAGTGAGTGTGTGTGGCCCAGTGTCCTGGTTCTTTCCAGCATGTTCTGCAGCTCTTCTTCCCCTTTCAGGGACCCTGACAGCCTCTTTGCCCTTCAAAGACCCATGATTTGTTTCTGAAATCCCTAAATTTTCCTGGGTTCCCTCTGCCACAGCCTCTTCCCTCTGCCTGGGAACTCAGTTTTCCATTCTGCCATAAACCCTGCTGTCCTCTCTCCCATCAGTTGCCAGACATTAGTAGATAAATTTCTGAAACTGGACCTGGACGATCCCAACTTGGACCTGGACCTTTTCATGAGTCAGGAAGTGCTGCCTGCTGCCACTGCCATCCTTTGAGAGCCCTTCCTTGGCCCTCCTCCACCTCAACCTGTCTCCTCACCTTCCTCAGACCCAGAACTCTCAGCTTTCCTGGAAATTTTGTTTCATATTAGGAATAAAGTTTACTTCAGAGAAAGTTATTGTTTCTTTAGACCAGCCAAAACAAAACAAAAGACTAAGAACGAGATGAAACACCAAGCAGAAGTCCACAGAGGGGCCTGCCCTGCCTCATTAGACACACAGGGACGTGGGGTGCCTGGCTGGCGCAGTCGGGAGTGCGCGACTCGTGATCTCGGGGTCGTGGGTTCGAGCTTCACGCTGGGTGTAGAGATCACTAAAAATAAATCAACTTAAACACACACACAGTGACACTGCTGTAGGGAAGACCCTTCGGTCCCACCCAGGGGGACCTCACGAGGACCAGCCCTTTCAACAGACCCTACAAAAGCAGATGAGAAGGAAGACAGAGAAACCCAACAGATATGGTCTTTCCCCTAAGTAGGAACACCCCAGCCTCAGACAGACACAGCAGAAAGGGCCCCGGGAGGCTGGAAAAGAAGGTAGGACGCGCACAGGGCAGGAGGGGAGGGGCCAGCCCGGGCGCCAGTGGGCGTGGCTCCGCCCTTCTCACCTCGGAGCCATGGGGAGCCAGGGGCCTGGCGGGCCGCCCCGCAACGGGGCTCCCTACACGGTTCTGCTGCTGCCACTGGGGACAAGCCGCCGGCACCCAGGGGCCCGGAGCTTCTTCCTCTGGGTGAGTATTAGTCCAGCAAGAGGTCCCAGGGAAGCCCACCCCCTGGATCTGCCCCTACATTTCCCCTCAATTTTGAGGACCCATAAGTCTTCTCCCCTGCCTCCCCTGCCCTCCAGGTGCTCAGTGGTCAGGCTGGGCTCACACTCCGTGACCAGTGAACCCAGCCAAGGGTTGAGACGAGGGGCCACGGCCCAGAGCCCTGCTGTGGAGCAAGTCAGCCTCCGCTTCTTGCCTTCCCAGCTGCAGAGGATGCAGGCTCTGGAGAGGGAGCAGGACGCCCTGTGGCAGGGGCTGGAGCTGCTGGAGCGCGGCCAGGCCTGCTTTGAGGGCCGTCTGAGGGAGGCACTGCAACAACAGCAGCACCTAGGGGCTCTTGGTGAGGTACGGGGCTGCCGTGTGGTGTGCGGGAGCAGGGACATGTGGACAGCCTGACACCACCCTGGGGAGGCCAGAGTTAAGGGGCAGGGATCACGAACTGGAAGCAGCATTGTAATGACTGGATGCCAGCAAGCAGTTAGGTTGGTGTTCATTGTTGGGACTGGAGGGGGCCGGTCTGCATTCCATTCAGAGGAACATGGTTTGGATCACCCCACTGAGATGGGGGAGTGGCCTGGACTATTCCAATGGGTCAGGACTAGACAGGGAGGATCCATAAAGAATAAGGAAGGAAAGGGGTACTGTGCTATTTGAGGGGGATAGAGGAACTGGATTGGTAAAGAGATGGGAGTGGAGAGTATCGGATTTTTCCACCTGCCTTGAGGGCTACTGAGATGAGGAGACCCAGATGGAGAAGAGGTATGGCCTGTGGTGACAGAAAGAGTGGCAGATGGACCTCATGTTTTCACCATGTTGTCAGCCTCCAACTCCTCCTTTAGAATTTTCTAACAGATTTACACTCAGAGCCTCATGGCCCCCAGTTAGCCCAGATTCAAAAGGTGAACGTGTGTTTGCAGAATCTGATTCAGAAGGTGAGTTTATTGTTTTTTGTTTAGATTTTTGGGAAGTGGGGGAAGAGAGGGGACTTGGGATCAACACTGGTTTAACAGAAAAAAGCAAATCCCGCCCTCCCCCCCTCCCCAGTTCTCCCCACATCCCTTAAATAAGGCTAGTTCCTGTCCTGCCCAGGACTGGAAGGGAAGGCCAAGGAAGCAGAACTTACAGCAGCAACAGGTAAACTGTAGGGGAGTGGGGGGGAGGGCGGAAGCGCTGGGCCCGTGGCCAGGGTGGGGGTGGGGGGTGGAGGAGCGCAGATGCCCACACTGTTTCTCTCCTTTCTCCAGGAGTTGTCAAGGCAGCAGAAGGGAGGCATTCAGCCAAAAGGCGAGACCACTCAGCCGGGCTGCCCCAAGATGCAAAGGGGCCCAACCCGTGTGTAAAGCCTCCTCTGGGTTTCCTCATTTGGTGAGGGGGGAGGCTGACTCAGAACCCCCAGTCTCCTCATTCTGCCTCTTGACTTAACAGATAAATGGCTCCAGGTGGTGGGTCAACTGAAGTCCAAACATCTTGGTGTAAAGTTTCTTCTCTGCAACTGAAAACTTCCATTTCATCTTCTCGGTGTCTTATGCCCTCACTCTCCCTTATATGATATGCATAAATGATCTTTCTTTGAAATCCCTCTCTAGAGAAGACATGTTTATTGAAACTGTCCTTCAACTTTAAATACAAAAATAAAATAGGCGCTTCTTCAGAATTTCAAATAAGAACAATTCTATAAATAAACCTCACTCCCAACCTTAGTCTCCTCCCCATACATCTTTCCTTCTACCTGAGCTTAGGAAAGCACGAATAAATAGTGGAATAAAGAGATGCTGTGGAGAGATAGGAACCAACTTTCTCCACAAAGAGGTATTTGGTTTGGTTCCCACCAGGGTTAGAGAAAGTGCACTGTGGGAAAATCCACTGCCCTCTTTCCCAATCTCACTAAGAAAGAGAGGGACAAGTGCCTGAGAAAGAAAACCTCCAGCTGAGAGAGGTGGGGTCCCGAGGCCCATGTTACCTTCTCACCAAAGGAGCAGGATTGAAAAGAGCTCTGGAGACCCATCCCTCCTATGTCACCAGTTGTCACCCCTCCAGCTGTGCCCCACCAGGGGTTGCCCACCCGCCCTCCCCCGGCCCTTCCCCGAGTCACCAAAGTGGAGGCAGGGCTGGTTGAGGCGAGGATAGGGCCAAATGAGTGGGCAGGGGCGGCCAGCGGTCCTGCGGAGAAGGGGGAGAGACTGTCAGGGTGTCTGTACCCAAATTAGGCCTACAGCGCCCCCCCCCCCCCAGCCTGCACGGCCTGCGATGGGAACGGGGGTGCCTCACCTGCGGGCCGGGCCCAGCACTAGGAGCTGGAGGAAGGCGTGGGTCGGGGGCACTGGGCTGGCCTCCCGACCTGTCGAGGTTACAGTCACCGTCACCAAGGAGTCTGGCGCGGCTGAGTCCGGGACCTCCAACCATAGGCGTCCCCAGGCGGACTCATTCGGTTCCAGGCGAACCCTGCCAAGTGGACACACATGCCCGGCTGAAGGCCCGGGCTCCGAAGAGCTGCGAGCCAAGGGTCCGAGGGTCCGAGGGTCCGAGCCAAGCGCCGGCAGGGAGGCGAGGCCAGGCGAGACTCTGAGCGCCCAGCGGAGGCCGCTGTAGGCGGGGCTTAAGGCACCAGACTCCCATGCCCGGGAACCAAAAGGTGGGCCAGAACTGAGCAGGAGGGTTCGGGGGCTGTACACGGAGGGGTTGGAGGTGAGAGGGAAGCTGGGACTGACAGATGGCCTAAGGTCGAGATCCTGAGGGCCCGAGAAGCTGGCGGCGGCGGAGCAGGGCGGAGGGCGGGTCAGGGCAGGAGCCGCGGCACCTCTCTCGGGGCCCCACCCGCACCTTCCCCTGGCGTCTCACCTCCCGAAGCACCGGGACCACGGTGCAGGGCTGGGGGTGCCGCTCGGTGCAGGCCCCGCCCCTCTCCGTCCGGCCGACCAGCTCCAGAGAGAAGCGTCCCCCGTGGACAGAAGCACGGGCGGGAGCGAGGCCACGAGGACACCTCGCTGCCGCGGTCCCGTGGGCTCCAGAGGCACCCAGCCCCTCTCGGCACCCTCCGGGACCCCTCGAAGGACGACGTGGGAGAAATGCGGCCGAGCATCTCCGGGGTTGCCTCTGGAGCCCAGCCCTGTCACCTCTACCAGCAGCTGGCTCTGGAGGCCTGGGACAGGGGACCAGAGGGGAGAACGATGGTCCGCAGGAGATTCGGTGACAGGGAGAAAAAAACAAATGGCTTTTGGAATAGGGGTTATCCCTGGGGAGTATGGATGGAGAAAAGGGGCTACCTCTGAGGGATATTGTGGGGCAGGGTCAGTAAAGATTCTGGGATGCTGGAAATGTTCTAAATCTTGAACGGAGGGATGGTTACATGGGTGCATTATATGCAATCCATCCAGTGCGTACTTCAGTTTAGTGCACTTCATTATATATAACTCAATAAAAATTTAAATATATAATTATATATATAATATATAATGGGGGCACCTGGGTGGCTCAGTTAAGCGTCTGCCTTTGGCTCAGGTCATGATCCCGGGGTCCTGGGATCAAGCCTTGCATCGGGCTCCTTGCTCAGCGGGGAGCCTGCTTCTCCCTCTCCCTCTGCCCCTCCCCGCCACTTGTGCTCTCGCTCGTGCTCTCTCTCGAATAAATAAATAAAATCTTTAAAAAAATAATAATGGACAAGTTGGGGCAGGGGGATAGATATACCTGCAACTGGCTGAGTCAGGGGGTAGAGGCCAGGGTGGGGGCCATCCTCCATGGGAATCCGAAAGTAGAAGAGGAAGTCCAGGGCTGTCTGAGCTGAGGAGGGCCAAGGCAATCAGAGACCTTCTTGCGATGAATGTGACTGCTAGTGTTCTCCGAGCTCTGCAGCCTCCCCTTCCCTTCCCTTCCCTTCCCTTCCCTTCCCTTCCCTTCCCAGGAATATCTCCGTCCTTACCTTGCCCTCTCACCCTGGGCGCGTCCTCAGCTGTGACCCAGATCTCCCAGGTCCCTGTCTGTGGGGGGTCATTCACGGTAACTATGCAGAACTGCCCAAAGCGGCGCGTGTGACCTAGAGGCCCCTCGCCTTCCTCTTGGCCCTGGGAGACCCCTGATGGGAGTGGGGGATTCATGGGACAATTCCCGTCCTTTAGGATGTCACCCTTCATTCTCCTCCCTTCTTCCCTCCGCCTCGAGACACACACGGGGAAGTATACCTGCAGGGTTCCTGATCTAGAAGCTGCTGACCTCCCTGTGGATCTGAACTGTGACCCTCTGGAGCAGCATATCCACCCTGAACACAAGTGGCCTCCCAGACACAACAGGAGGTTCCAGGGGAAGGGTAACCTTGAAGGATGGGCAGAAGCACAAAATGGGGGAGAAGATAAGGCAGTGAATGAGGTGTAGGAACAAAGGCAGGAGAAGGGTGGAGACAGAAGAAAACTAAGTCACATGTGGAGAAGGGAAGCCAGTGATAGAGGGGGGCAGAAGACCAGGGAGGGAGTTACGGTCAGCAACAAAGTGGAGGCAAGGGATTGAGGGTGAGGCCATCGCTTCTTGTCCCTCCTTAAAAGATGGCAGGACTTCCTGTGGTAGCCCTGAGGACAGACTACTGGAGGCCAAGGCTGGGGGACAGGGGCAGTACCCACCAGGAAGGAGCAATGTGGAAGGTGGGCAGCCGTGGATCTCAGAGGGAGAGAAACTTCCTTTCCCACCTTTCTGACTGCGGTGGCAACACGGCAGTGTTAAACCATAAACCTATGAGAACGGGAAAGGCCGTGTCGTCACCCACACCCTTCGTTCTCAGCTGAAAACATTAGTCCTTCTGGGCGCCCACACTTACCACGTCAGCCATGCTGTCCCCAACAATGGCGGCCACATCCTGAATGTGCTGGTCTTTGGTGAAGATGACCTCTCCTCCTGAGGTCAGGGCCACTGCTTCGTATGGCTCAAAACACAGAGGGGACAAGACCTCACGCCGAGCTCGGCCCTGAACCCTCGATGGGTCTTCAGTCACTAGGAATGTCACCTGTGCCCAGAAGAGAGGCCAGTTCTTGAGTACTCCCAGTGCCGTCTACCACTGTGAACGGGGGTCTCCTGGGCCCAGGCGCTCTACAGAGCTGATGACCAGTGGCAAGTTCCCTGTCTGCCCTCTGACTGCCACTGCAGGGTCTCCCAGTGACACAACCCCTAGGCCTTCACTTAGTAGTTGCCACTCCCTTGTAACTGTCACCGTATGTCACCCACATGGTGGATTGTTGGCAACTAGATCTCCAGTTCTTCAAGTGGTTTGTTGGCGACAGGTTCAAATATGAATTCCGCACAAATAAGGGATCCAGAAACGTTACACTCATTGTCTGCTTCTCCCACCCCACGCCAAGGCTGGTGCGGCCACCAGAGTGTGGGGTGAGGCTCATTAGGAGGTTGTCGCCATAGGGTTCCCCGCATCCCTGGGTGGCTACAGCGGGTCTCCCATCAGCTGTGCTCACTCTGCAGTGCCACTCCTGAGTCAAGGATTCCACCTGGCTGGCGAGCATGGCGTCCTTGGGGGAGGCGTCTGTGAAGACAAAGCTGTCTGAGAGTGGAGGGGTGTGCAGCAGAACCGGCTGGCAGAGAGGGGGAGCGCTGGTATTAAAAATGGCAGCGGCAGGGGAATGGGTAGAACCAGGGAGGACAGAACTGAAGGGAATAGAACCTGGAACCCTGGAGGGAAGCTAGGGGGACTAAGCTCTGAGGGCGGGGTGGGAGGTGGAGGTCCCAGGAAGACTCTATTTCCCTTGGTGGTGGGACCTGGAAAGGGGAGGGAGACGAAGGGAGGGGGAGGGCAGACCTCCAGGGCTGACAGGCACACGTCAGGCTCATCTCCACCCCCAAGGCATGGATCTCATTGAGTTGTTGCCAGAAGCTGTCAGGGTCACTGGTTGTAAAGACAGGGCCAAACCCTGGGGAGGCAGAAGGGAGGTTGAGGTGAGTGAGGAGAGGGATCCCCTATCCCTACCCAGGACCACCTCCCCAGTCAAGAGGCCTGCTGTGCTCCAGGGGCAAACAAGTATGGAAATAACAATATTCCCTTATATTTATATGTGCGGGGCAGGGCAAGGGCTAGTTGTTACCTTGCAGGGAAGTGGACCTCATTTCCTTAACAGAGTGGCAGCATCTCCTGTGGTCCTGAGCGGGCCTTTCCTGGGTATGTGTGTAAGTATGAAAAAGACCTGGGCCTCAGTTTCCTCAGCAGAAAAGTCAGAAAAATAACAGTACTTACCTCGGAGTGTCATTAGGACTAAATGAGCTGATTTTGTAAACCTTAGAATAGTACTTTGACCCATAATAAGTGCTAAATTCTTAATTATTCAAAACTTCATCAAATGTGTGTTAAGCCCCTATTAAATGCCAGCTACTGTGAGATTCATGCAGGTAAATCAGACTCAACTCCTGCCCATAGGGAGTTCTCAGTCCTATGGGTATTTGATGGTCATTTCAACCCTAGGAGATAGGCAGGATAAGACAAGTACTGACCCATTTTATGGATGATGAAATTGAGGCAAAAAAGGCTAAATGATCAGCCTAAGGATGCACAGTGACTGGTCGACCCAGGTCAGATGGTCTGACTTCCAGTTCAGCGGGGGAAGGAAGTACATGATAACCAGCTGTCTCAGAGGCTTCACGGGGGCCTGCACCCACCAACCCCCATCCTCATCCCAACATCCACCTACAGGAAATGGAGAGAATTGAGAATGGCTGATTAGCACAGATCATGATTAACCTCATATGGAAAGTGCTACCATTTTGGAAACAGAAGTGGCCGATTGTTTCCTATATGCACGCGGGTACACATAAAGACTCAACCACGGGAAGTGTTACCATTTTGTTAAGGAAGTGGAGCCACGAGGCCCACTTCCCCACCAGTGGCATTTACCCCTTGCCCTGGACTTTCCTTCCTTCCACTATCCTCCCCAGACCACAGTTACCTGGATCTTGGAAAGGCACCAGGACGTAGTGGACAGGCTCCATGGGGCAGCCCCGTCGCTGTTCCACAATGTGGCGAGCCTGGATTTTGGCAGCATTGATCTCCTCACCCGTACTGCCCGTGGTGTCCAGGACAAAGCTCAGGCTGGAGGCCGGGCTGATGTCCAGCAGCCTGGAGGGCAGGCCGAAGACACTGGGAAGAGTCTGCACATTTGTCCCCAGCCCCTGTTTACTCAGCTCCCCCAGGAGCACATGCCCATTAAGGAGCGCATCTCGCAGAGGCCACTCACCCAGAGAAACCCCTGTCTCCCAGGTGGTTTCTCAGGAGACTGAAGGCTGGATGGAGGCCAGAAGGGCCAGTTTTGCTGCCTGGAGGTGCAGCATGTGGTGGGGAGAGAAGCCCGGGGCTGTGCTCTCTTTGTTGATGCCGCCCTGTGGTGGCTGGGAGCTGCTCCGGTCAAAACGGCCCCCATGGCTACATTTCCCTGGGTTGCGGGAAGAGATCTGGGCAAGCCACTGCCTCCTAAGAGAACTAGGCCCTCTTTGACCTGGTCTGACCTCTCAGTCTTCAGCAAAGGACCAGCAGGAAAGATGATGGTTTGTGGAGGGCAAACTGGAGTGAATCCTGAGGGGTCAGTGATCACAGTACACGGTGCATTCCCTAATCCCCCCAGTCAACCCCCAAAAGCTGCTGTTGGGTAATGGAGAAGTCTCAACAGCTGGGTAAGAAGTTCTCCACCCTCAGCAACAATCATGGCCTCCTCAGTGGGCCTCCATCCACCCACCCCATTCCCAACGTCCTCGCCTTCTTCCAGGAAGTGATGCCATAGGAAATGGGACAAGGGCCTATAGTTCTGAAATCCCTAAGGAGAGGGCCAGGGGGAAGGAAGGGCCTTTCTCCCCTTACTTCTGCCTGGTACCTGGAGGTTTGGAGGGATGAGTTCCAAAGTAGCCAGAAGTGAGGAGTGTAAAGCCCAGCAAATTCCCAGGGCAGCTCAACTCTCACAATCAGAGCAGGCAGGATCGCCTACTGGGAAGAGAGGACAGTGGTCTAGAGCCCAAGATTCTGCCACCACTGACCTTTATCCCTGTCCACCCAAACTTTGGCTTTCTCCCCAGCTGGCCAAAGCCCATAGGTACTCTTCTAGGCTTTCTGAACAAAAACCTGGACATCGTCTGGTCATGAGACAGTATTTGAGACGGGGACTGTGCTAGGAAACCCAGAAGCGTGGGGAGCAGTACTGCAGGGATAGAGCCCTCTGTGAGCTGTGGACAGGAAGCCAACTTGTAGTGGGCAGGAGGCAGCTTCCGGTCATAGTGCAGGTGGAAGGAAGAGGGGACTGTGAGGGAGAGCCCTGAATGCTTCATGCCATGTTGGGGGAGGAAGCCACATGAAAGAGAACTCAGTGGAGGTCTGCAGACCTTGGTCCTGGCTCTGTCCTCCCCCTGTGACCTTGGGGAAACTACCTAAATGACCTGGCCTTTGGCTGGGCTGGGGGACCTCACAGGTCATTCCAGAGAAGAAGCAATGTCACATCCTATGCGGCCTGAGGATGTGACACAGTGGCTGGGTAGGGTGACAGGATGCGGCTCTATGGGATTCCCCCAGCTCCAGGGTCATGGCCGTACCTCGTGCCAGGCTCCCGAGCTCCTGCCTCAGCCAGAGGAGCTGAGGGTGTGGCTGCTGCCGCCCCAGGTCCACCCAGTTGCTGTGACTGTCGAAATCCTGGCGGGGAGGGGACAGAAGGGGACTGTCACCACAATCTCCAGCCCTTACTCCCACTCCTTTGAGTTCCCCATCTGGAAAGCCTCCTCTTACCCCAAGTGCGCTCCACGGGCTCTGCCCGTTGCCCAGGAGGGGGCTTTCCCCAAGTGGGAGTCTCCCAGTGTTTCCTCCCATCTCACTCAGAGCCCAAAGGCCCACCTCAGACCTCCCGCCTCCCTCTTCTCTCCAGCCACAAGGCCTCCTGCTCTTCCCACTGGACCTAGGGACCTGGGGACCAGCCTCAGGGCTTTGGCAAGCAGCCCCCATCCCTTCTTGATCAGGGGGAGGTGTGATCAAGGAGGCACCGTGAGGAAGCTTCTATCTGGGCGATGGGAAGACCCTGAGTGAAGCCCTCCCCCTCAATGACCGGTTCAGGCTGTTCTCACCCGCAAAGCATGAAGCGCGGCGCCGAGGCGCTGGTGGGCCAGAGTGTGCTCCAGGGCTCTGGCCGCCCCCATGGCCGCCCGGGGAGCCCCCGCCAGGAGCATGCGGCCCTGGCCCAGCCGCTCGGCATCGAAGTGCAGCTCAGGGTCATTCCCAGATGTTGGCAGGAAGTCCTGGGCTGCGTTGGCCCAAGACACCTCACCTAAGGCTGCTCGGAACTGCCGAGAAGGAAACCCAGGTCCCAAGTAGGCAGCAAAGGGGTGCCTGGGCGGCTCAGTTAAGCGTCTGCCTTCGGCTCAGGTCGTGACCCCAGGGTCCTGGCATCGAGCCCCGCATCGGGCTCCCTGCTCCGCGGGAAGCCTGCTTCTCCCTCTCCCGCTCCCCCTGCTTGTGTTCCTGTTCTCGCTGTGTCTCTCTCTGTCAAATAAATAAATAAAATCTTAAAAAAAAAAAAAAAGAAGTAGGCAGCAAAGAGGTCGTTGGTGAGGAGGGTGCGGCCCTGGAGAGAGTGGGTTCGGGGACAGGGCCCCTGGGATTGGACTATTGCCCACATTTCCTCAGCAGCTGTCACTTGGGTCAGGTGTGCAAGGAATTGAGAGTGCTGGGCCCTACGAGGGAGCTGGGCCCTACGAAGGTGGGGCAATTCTGAACCTTTCTTTTTTTTTTTTTTTTTTTTTTTTTAAAGATTTTATTTATTTATTCATGAGAGACAGAGAGAGAGGCAGCGGGAGAAGCAGGCTCCCAAGGAGCAGGGAGCCCGATGCGGGACTCGATCCCAGGACGCTGGGATCATGACCTGAGCCGAAGGCAGACGCCCAACCATCTGAGCCACCCAGGCGCCCAATTCTGAACCTTTCTAAGGAGTGGGGGCTCTTGATTTCAGGACCAGGACTCTTGGGTATTGTCAGGCGATAGACGTGGGGAGGTGCGGAAGAGAGGATGTCCCTTCTCTTGGCAAGCAGGGCCCTCAGGGAGTAGAAGTCCCAGGGAATTGGGGAATCCAACTGGGATGTGACAGGGCCTGGGGACGCTCACCAGGAAGTCCTCAAGACGAACTGGGGGCTGCTCTGAGGGCGGCTGCTCTGGGAAAAGCTGCAGGGTGACATTGAGGGCCGCTTCCTCCATCAGGTGCTGGTGGGTGACGGAGCCCGGGGCGGCCAGGAGGCTCCGGATGTTGGGGAAGAAGGAAGTTGCGGGAGGCAGCAGCAGCCGAGGGACTCAGGTGGGAGAGGGGACCATCTGCGGGGAGCATGGCTGGGACATGGACCTGGGGGACAGAAGGCACTCAAGAGCAGGAAGCAGCTGCGAGTCCTGGGCAGGCACAACAGTTTGTCTCCCTGGGCACTTGCTTTTATCTTAGGCACCTGACGGGTGCCCAGCTGGTTTCCCCACCCTCTTTCCTCAGTCGCCCAGATTACCTGAGGGCCTTATCAGGCTAATAGGGCCCGGCACCTGCAGGAGAGGGGCTGAGGCTCCTCCGCTAGGACCCCCCTCCCCATCACCAGGCTGTCACCCCTCCCACACCCCCACGCACACAAAGTCTTGAGTCTCCTCTCTAGGCCTGTCCCCTACCTGGTTGCTGGGTCTCCAGCAGGGCTGCTGGGGCGTGGTGTCACAGGGCACTTAAGTCAGAGTTATACTTAACCTAAGCGGGACCCAGCAGAGGGGGAGGGAGGCCTGGGCGGGGGCGGCAGCCCCCCGGCCCTTCTACTCACGACCTCCCAAAGCCACAGGCAGCAGCCGGCACGGCTGGCCTCCCTCAGCCGGAGGGCACAGGTGAGTGGAGAAGAGCTGGCAGGAGGAAGGGAGTGAGCAACGTGACTCAGGCCTGGCTCAGTGCCAGGGACAGACCCAGACAGACGGCACCTCTCTGCCCACCCAGTGCCTCTCGCCTGGCCGGCAGCCCTCGCACTGCTCGTGCCCACTGTGTCCGAGGGCGCAGGCACCCAGGCCCTCAGTGCTCCCCCCCCACCCCAGCACGCACAAACAGCTGGTTTTGTGGCAAAATATTTTATTGCTGCCACCCCCATGGTGGACACTGGGGGTTATGAGGACCGGAGTCGGGTGTAATCACAGCATCTTCTGGAACAGCGCGATGGCCTCATCCACCTTCCTGAGCTCTGCTTCTGTCTGTTGGAGCTGGGGGTGGAGCAAGGGAGAGGGGGCAGTGGGTGGTGAGGACCTAGGCCCAAGAGAGGAGACAAATGCCAGGAGCGGGGGCACAGCCCATGCCCATGATGGCAGAGGGGTCCGAGTTGGAAAGATGGCTGAGGACCACAGGCAGGGAGTACTCTGGGGACTGTGTGAGCCTGGCCGGCCCGCTCCCCCCTAATTCTCACAGGCCTCCCCAGCAGCACCCGCCTTCTCTTCCAGCATCCCTGAGCTCCCAGGTCTTGCCTTCTGCTAGAGTGGTCAGTCCCCAAAAAACAAAGGGGCCTCAGAGCCAGCAGCCCCGCCCCCAGGTGGACGGTGGGGCACAGGGGTTCGGGACAGAGGCTCCTAGGCAGGCACAGGGCCCTCATTTGTAAAATGGCAGTGGTAATACCCCGGGCCCTGCGCGGGCTTCCGGGAGAACTCTGCTCATTTCTGTCTGCGTCCATGCGGTTCACCCCACTGCTCCTCCCTGGAGAGATCCCAGGTGAGCCCGCTGGGCTTCCTGAATGTAGGTGGTCCCCAGACCAGCTCCAGGCATGTGGGATGCCAAGTTCCGGGCACTGGGGCAGGCACGAGGGCTCTGGCTGGGAGGCAGGATACCTGGTTCTAGGTCTGCCTCCGTCCTCACCTTGCTTGTGTGACCCTGGACTATGACCCTACTCCCGGCTGTTCCTCGTGTAAGGGGACGGATTACGCAGACCCCACCTGTTCAAGGGGCCCAGGCTACCTGCTGCCCCGTGACTGCCCAGGGCTGGGCAGCACGCAGCTGTGGGGATGGGGTCTGATGATGGAGGAAGCGCATGGGGAGGGAAGCGGAGAAGGAGCGCCCGCCCACCCCGCACACCTTGGCTCTGTCTGCCTCCTGGACGTCAAGGGGCACCTTGCTAGGGTAGCCCGCGGCGGCGCGGCGCTCCCGCAGACGCTGGGCCTGGCGCTGTGCCTCGCTGCGCTTGGCCTGCAGCTTGCCCAGCTCCCGCGCCGGGTCCACCAGCCCCTGCAGCTGCAGGTGGACGGAGCAGCGGTCAGAGGCCAGGGCCACGGCACAGCCCTGCGGCACAGGGGCCCCCAGGGCCAGGACGGCCACCACACCCGCACTGGCCAGCGTCTGCACGTAGCCTGACACCGCCGACCCCAGAGCACCTGTGGCCTCATCGGCCACCTCCAGGAAACCTGCGGGGCAAGGAGGGAGGAGAGATGTGGCCCCGAGGAGACGCGCCACGAGGCACCGCGCCAGACAATGGTCCCAGAGTGGACAGAGGAGACAGAGGGACGGGTGGGGGTGGGGGCCTGAGGCTCACAGTCAGGCCGGATCCGGGTGAGGTTGTAGTCCGCCCGCAGGGAACGCACAGCTCGCGTTATGCTTAGGGCCAGGTCCATGGCAGCTTCGGCCTCAGGGTCCTTCCAGGAACACTGCGGGGGGAGGAGGGGGTGAGGGCGGCTGGGGGGCAGGCCAGAGCCCCCACCTCCAGCCATACCCCGTACCTCTGAGGGCTCCGGATAGGGGGTAACACAGAGGCTAGGGGGAGCTTGCAGTGTCCGCCGGGGCAGCCTCTGGAACAGCTCCTCGGTCACGAAGGGCATGAAGGGTGACAGCAGCCGCAGGCCAACGTCCAGGCAGGTATAGAGGGTCTGGCGAGCACACTCGGCCACCACTTGGTCCACCCCATTCAGCACGGGCTTCAGGCACTCCTAGGGGACCGGGAAGCACAGGGCTCGGGTGGAAAAGGTCTAGCCTCCAGGCCTCCCTGTGCCTGGAGGACCGGGAAGGTGACAGGTTGGCCCAGGTCCCATGGCCAGCCACCGGCAAAGTGAGGCCCAGGGCTCTGCCGCACCCCCCCACCCTGGTCCGCTTCTCACCAGGTAGACATCACAGAGCTCATAGAGCCAGAAGCTGTACTGGGCAGTGGTGACAGCTGGGAAATCATAGGCCTGGAAGCCTTGGTTGCTAAGCCTCACAGCCTCAGTCAGCCGGCTGCGGATCCAGCGGTCCACCAGGCTCTCGTGGCCTCCAGGCTTGGGAAGAAGGAGCGTTATCAGCTAGGAGGTCCCATATGCCCAGGGGGAGGGAGGCAGAAGCCTGGGGGGGGGGGGGGGGGCAGGAACCACGGGCAGGCCTGCATTCCAGGAGCCTGATAGGTCCAAAGCCACCATCATGTGCTCAGTTTGGGGAGGAAAACGGAGAGGCCCTCCCCAATGCCCCCGGCTTTCACTGTAACTGTCTGTCCTGTGTCCATCCGTTCCTTCAGTTACATGAAGGCTCCTCCAGGACCACCTGACTCCGTGGCTGGGATCCTGACAGCACGGGCCACGCTTGATGCCTGGTGGCCGGCGTGCAGCCTCTGTGTGGTGTTGCCCACTGCGCTGCCTAGCGGGTTCTCACCTCAGAGGTTGGTGAGGGCACAAAACCCTTCCCAAGGCCCCGGAGGGCAAACTTGGTGGCGTTCCAGAGCTTGTTGCAGAAGTGGCGGTAGCCCAATATCCGGTTCACGTCCAGGTTGATGTCACGACCTGGGCGGGAGCGAAGAGTGAATCCTTACTGTTCTCCCTCCCAACTCGTGCCCACCTTGGGGAAGGGGAAGGGACTTGGCCGAGAGGTTTGAGAGGCCATACCCTGGGACGTGTAGGCACAGAGTCCAAACCGGAGGGCGTCGGTGCCACACTCGGGAATCCCCGCCGGGAAGTCTGCCTTCTGTGGGGAGGAGTCAATGGGGGGGCGCCTTGAGGCGGCTGCACCTCCCTCGGCCCACACTCTAGCCCCAGAGCCCACCCTCCGTACCTGCCCTTCTTTAGCCTTCTCCACCTCACTGGGATCCAGGTTGCTGCTCAGTAACTGGTCGTGGAGGCCCTGAGGGTGAGGTGGGAGCAGTCAGGGGGCCGTGGCCACAGCCCCACGGCCCTTCCCAGCCTGGCCCAGAGCAGAGCCCCACCTGCAGGGAGACTCCATGGATGACGTCCAGGGGGTCGATGACATTGCCTAGAGACTTGCTCATCTTTCGGCCATGGGCATCTCGCACGATGGCGTGGAGGTAGACCTGGCAGGGAAGGCCCACGACCATGTGTCTCCTCACCCAGACCCCAGTGCCTGCCCCGGGCCCTGCACCGGGTTGGCCCCATACTGAACCTCCGACCCCTCGGTGTCCCTGCCAGTCCACTCAGCACCTTCATGGGAATTAGAGGTACTCCCTCCTCCAGGAAGCCAGGGCACAGAATCACCACGTGCAGCCCCGGCCGGCTTTCAGTCCCCACGAGCCCTCCCTGGCCGGGCTGTGCCCTGTGTCCCCATGCATGCTGAGCCCGAGCTGTGGCACGGGAAGGGGGTGAGATAGGGACTGTGGGATGGGTCTCGGCAGTCTTCACACCTCTCTGAAGGGCAGCTTGCCAGTGAGCTTCAGGCCAAGCATGACCATCCTGGCCACCCAGAAGAAGAGGATGTCATGGCCCGTCTCCAGCAGCGTCCCCGGGTAGAACACACTCAGATCTTCTGACTGGGGGCAGAGCAGGGCATGAGGGGGTGCCAAGCACCCACCTCCCAGATCCCCACCCCACCCTGAGCTGGTCCCTCAGGAACATACCTGGTTGGGCCAGCCGAAGATGGAGAAGGGGAAGAGGCCAGAAGAAAACCAGGTGTCCAGTACATCCTCATCTGAGGGAGGCCAAGGTCAGATGTCAGAGGAGGGAGAGAGGAGGATCAGAGCCCCGGCTCTGCCCTCCACCCCCCAGACCCTGCCTTGCCTTGCTGGAGACTGATCTTGTCAGGGGACACTCCAAATTCCTTGGCTGCCTTCTCCCGGGCCTCGGCCTCGCTGCGCCCACTCACCCAGTACCGCCCATCTGGGTCCTGCAGGCAGAGTGAGTGCCCAGGGGGCGCCTCGGCCTTGCTCCGCCCCCTCCCGCCAGCGAGGACCCAAGGAAACCACAGCTCCTGGAGATGGGCCAATGTCCAGCTCCGGCCCAGGTCTCACCTGCCCCGGGGGCACGGCGGGGTCACTGACTGTGACGAAGTAGGCTGGGATGCGGTGGCCCCACCACAGCTGCCGGGAGATGCACCAGTCCCTGTGAGGGGG